TAATATAATTTTATTTTATTTTACTTTTGATTTATTTTCATTTTTTACTTTATTTTCTTTGTTGATTTTTTATTTTTAGTTTTCTCTTTTTTAGTGTATCACATTTTATTTTTTTTTATTTTATTTTTTATATTCAACAATTTTTATTGAGCTCTAGGCCGTTTTATTTATTTTAATTTTTTTGTATTTCTTTTAAATTTTTACTATTTTATTTTTTTCATTTTAGCTTACATTTTATTTTAAATTTAATTAAGTTTGTTTCATTCATTTCATTTCATTTCATTTTTTTGTGTTAATCAATATTAAATGTTATTTCTATTTTTATACTTCAATTTACTTTATTTATTTAATTTTTTTCTTAATATTTTATTTTATTTTTTGTTTTATATTAATTGATATTATTTCATTTCATTTCAATTCATTTAATTTAATTTTAGTTATTTTTTTAATTATGTAATTACATTTGAATTTACATTTTTTGTTATTTTATTAAATTTTAATCTTATTTTTTACATTTATGTTTCTCTTTTATTACCTATTATAATTTGATTTGTATCAATTTTATTTTTATATAATTTCTTGTTTTACTATTGTTATTTTGTTTTTGACCTTTTTTTAGTTTATTTTATTTTACATATTTCATTTTTACTTTTTTATTTATTTTTTATTTGTATATTTTTTTTAATATTTTATTTTTTTTTTGTATCCCATATTATTTTTAATATTTGGTTTAATTTGCGGAAGTTTTTATTACATTTTAATTTATTTTTTACTTTGTACCTTTATAGCTTTATTTTGCGGTTTTGTTTAATTTTTTGCTTTACTTTTTAATGTTTATCACTTTTTAAATTTTATTTCAATAAATTTTTATTTTCTTTTTGAATTAGTTAGTTCATACAAATCTCGATTGCAAAATTCTTCGGATACGATTCGTTTTGAATAGTTTCCCTTTTTTAAATTTCATTCACAGTTTGTGTAGATATTAGTTTGTTTGTAGTTGGAAATCATTTTTATGCTTTCAATTATGTACATATACATATATGTATGTACGTATATTTTAAAAATAAAAGAGATATTTGAGGACCAACGCTTGGAAAATGAAACGAACTATTAAGCAGCCCGCAATTGCAACAGACAACAGCTAGTAAATATGTATGTGCATATATGTATACTATATAGTAACAAGGCAACAACGACGAGCAATAAAAAAATAGAAGAAAGGAAAATATACACCGTTAACAGCTATCAATAAAACTATAAATTTTTTAGAGTTCGCACAGCAAAATTAAAATGAATGAAGGCAAGCTGAGTAGCTAAGATGCCCGGCTGGCAGACAGGCAGGCAGCAACACATCAGCGCAACTGACTCCTAAACACTTGCCATAAAGCTGTTTTTCCCCACATGGCTGTTTTTTTTTTTGTAATAGTTATTAGCCTTTTTTTTAATTTCCTTTACTTGTTTTCTTAAAAAAAAAATAATCAAAATATTTTCATTGTATATTTCATTGGCAACAAAAAATCCAGACTATCGCAGTCAAGCAGGTGAATTTTCTTTTTGGATTTTACTTTGCTGGCTGCTTAACTTTCTTTCACTTTTGTTTGTGCTGCTTTTTAAACTAATCGATGCACTCTTTAAATGCCAGAGGTAGAAATGAGTTTTATGATTTTTTCAATTTGAAAAATTTCCATTCATCTTTTTTAGTAGAAATCAACAGTCAATACTCGCCGTCAGGAACCAGCTAAACAATTATCTATGTATGTATAAATATATAAGATATTTGTATATTTCATAGCTCAACTTTTAAGCTCATTCCATTTTCATAGCAGCCAACCAGGCCCAATGCTGAGATCATTACTAAGCGATATAAACAAAATGTTCCTTTATTTAACTCCTTACAACATTTCATTTGTTGCTTACATTGTCACTTTACATACATACATACAATATTTACATGGAGATAAAAAAAAAAACTTAGTAAAGCCAATAAACTTACGCGTACATTGCAACCAAAAAGTCGCCAGCGGCAAACCGGCAAACGCCGCACTCTGAGCGAGGTGCAGAGTAAGACGCAGCAGAGTGCGCACCCTTCATGATTTGGTGACTTTTGTGGATATTAATTAGTGGTAGCGTGGACCAGGTTTAACTGCAATGTTTTTCATTTTATTTAAATTATTATTTTTTCATTTAAACTGCTTGCTACTTGGTTGTTATCTTTTCTAAGCGAACGCAATGGTCTCACTACTCATAGCCTTCTTTGCAGCCACTCATCTGGAAAGAGTAAAGAAAAGAGAACGGATATACAGGTGAGTGAGGTTGAAGGTGAAAAAAAATCATAAATATTCAATAGAACAAATGTGTGTGTGTGTGTGTCTGTGCAATTCGCGATTAAATGGTTAGATGGACATGAAGGTTATGACTACCTACTTAAAATTAATTATTATTAAACGAAATTTAAATGAAGAAAGTAAATACCCATTTGATTGCTAATTAGAAATGATATAAAATGATAGTGGACTAAGAGAGAAATGATATTAAATTTAATTAATCTTACAAAGCTTTATTACGAAAAATTAAAAGATTAACAAAAAGCAATACATACAGTAATTCATAAACTCTTTTAATACGAGATAAGGCAATCAAAAAATAATTTTTTGTTCGTGCTAAACTCGCAAACTACTGGACCGATTTTCATCATAAACTTTTTGGAATAACTTATTTGTGCTGCAAAGAACATCGGAGTTTTTTTTACTGAAATTTTAAAACTAAAAAGCTGTGACAAATGTATGAAGATTTAGAAGAATTCATAAACAATATTACGATTTACGAAACTGTATGCTTTTCAAGCGTTTAAGTTGGGAGAGAATATCAAACCACTTAATATTGTTCACTACTCTCTCACAAATAACAACCTGTTTTGCTGTTTGAAAGAACAAATTTGCACTACAAAAGAGAATAGTGTTCTATTTAAATGAAATCCACTCTATGTTTCGTGGTCTAAAAGCAATGGAGTAGGCAACTACTTAAAAAGAAGGGCTCCGCCAGGAAATTAACTATCCTTAAAACCAGTTTGAAGTCGAATAAACATCATGTAGTCCCCATGCGTTTGCTTCCGCTACCGTCGACCTCTTCGAAGAATTTTTTTGGAGCACCTTAGCTCTTCTTCCTCCTAAGGTCGAACAGTAGACAATGGATGGGGTATTGTAGAGTATGGAACCGCCAGCCAGATTATGCGCAGAGCAGTGTACGTTAGTAGCTAACAATATCACCAATGAACTGCAAAAAAAGGCCCATAAATAGAGAACTGAATCTCCTGTATTGTAGCAGATCATTTTCCAAAGCACAAATTACTGAGCGGGAAACCAAACGCGGAGTATGAAAATACTGCAGAATACTAGAGACCTCACAACCGGACATACTAGTTCTTCAGTTGAGCAAATTTAGTATGAGTACTCTGGTTATGTCCTTAAGGGAAGCTAAGTTGGGAATGTACCAAAAGAAATCGAGGTGTCTATTAACGCCGTTTTCCGGAACATTTCCTAGTACCGACGAAGGCTATTTACGAGTGCAGGCAACTAGTTACCTCATTTGTGGTAAAGCATTTATCCTTAGTTCAATAAATAAACAAACTAAAATGTCACATTCAACAACTGAAAATTCTTAAGTTCTCAAATGCATAACGAGGCCTTATATTCGATACCCTCTATCTGCAATTTTCACAAAAACTAATTTGTGATGTTAGAACCCATCTGGAACTTATTTACCTGTCATCACTGATGTTAATTTAATGGCTTTGCAATTTAATAGCAAATTCTTCTGTCAAGCATTATACAGGTCAGCACTAATATCACCGATGACCGTTAAGTCTTAGGTGGATTTTTATATCAGAATTTCATTTTTGTGAAAATTGCAGATAGAGGGTATTGAATATAAGCCCTCGATAAATGAATATAAAGAATTATGCCATATGAACGTGCGCTGTGTTTCCATGTACTATATCCATTTTCGAAATTAACATTTTATGCCAAGTTTTTACATTTATGTTATGTATGTCCAATTTTAAAAGACAAAATAATTTGTGCCCAGTTTTTAAATGGCAAAACAAGTATGTCCAGTTTTTAATGTCCAAAGATTTATGTCCAAAAAATTATGTCCAGTGTTTAATGTCAAGAAATTTATGTCCAACTTATTAATTAACGACTGTTTACTTTCGGTTTTAAATTAAAAAATAATTATATACAGTTTTTAATGTCCAAAAATGTATATCCAACTTATTATTATTTAAATTACCAAAAAATGATGTTCAAATTTTATTGTCCAAAAA